GGGTGTGCGGGGCCCGCCGCGAAGCCCGGGCTCCGTCACTCCCGTCGGCGGCCGGCGGCCGTCGCTCCCCGTGCCTGCGGGGACTTGGGGGACCACCCCCTCCCCGAGCTGGAGGGTCCCCGGGAAGCCTGCGCCGGGGCAGATCCGGCGAGATCAAAAGCGGTGTGCGGTTTCTTGGGGTGCAGGCGCCAGCCGCGCGACTCCCCGAAAGTCGCCCTCACCCCCGGTGCCCGGGACAAAGGTCCGGCGCGGTCCGCCCCTCCCCCGCGAGTGCGGCCGGGCGAGACCGCGGGTGCGGCGCAGGTGAGCGCCCGGCTCGGGTCCGAGCGGCAGACCCGCCCCCTCGCGCCGCGGCGTCGCTCCCTCCCGCGCTTAAGAAGAGTAAACATGAAAGTTTGACAGTCTGCTTACGGACGGCCGCTAACTCGTTTGTCACTGCAGGCACGGCAAACACTCTCTCCTTCAACCTGATTTGGCTACGAGTCGGTCAGTTGAATGCGCTAGGCGGCTTCCTCAAAGATGCTTGACAAATGGCTACTTCACACTTTCAGATGTAATCAAACTGGCTGTTTTGGTTTAGAAAAATAAATTTAAGAAAAACAGGTCCCTCTGCCCACCCCCTTTTGCCTACAAATTGGAAAGCTTGTCTCGCATGGCTGAAATCCCAAGCACCAATATTTAATGATGTTTATGAAGGCTATATGGATAAGCTGCTTTCAGCTGGGAAGATGAATGACATATTTTGAAAGCATTTCCTCTGCCCGCGCTGGCGATGTCGTTAGGGAGGCTGTCACAATTTCTTGCTTGGTTCTGATGATCTGGGGCATAGGCTGTAGAGTCGGGAGAATGAACGATGAAATCTTAGGACCCAAACCTCCTCGATGTTTGAAATGACCATATCGCTGTTCGTTGTTCTAAGAATTTAAATATCTAGCTTTATATTTAAAAGTTTGATTAAATTAAGGAAACTAAATTGCACTAGAGAGGTGGTTCTGAGTAGATAGCATCTTCTGGCAAAGAGAAGGGCGAGAATACTGTTACCCAATTTTTAAAAACAGAGAGGGGTGGTTAGAGTGCTCAGCAAGGGCAGGATGATGTTTGGAAAGCCGGGAAGATGAAATTGTAGGAGTTGCTGTCAAGCGTTCTACAGCTGGGGGAATAATCATTGAGAGGGAAGGTGTGGAAGAAAGGTGATTAATTGTGAAAGGGACAGCCCCAGAGGCAGGAGGATATTGCAATTACTTTCAATTAAGGGGGAAAAAAGTGTTTATCCGAAGACTTAGGAGAAACAAAAAAGCTGAATTTCATTTCATGTTCTTTTAAAATGTGAAATATAATAAGCATTTATACATAGGATCAATGTCATATTTCTTGAATGTTCTCAAAATTTATTTAGCACAATCTCCATTTATGTGATTGGGAGTTTTTTTTTTTTTCTACTAAAATGAATGAGAAAATACCTTGAGAAAATGCCGTGGTTTCTCCTTGGTAGTAAAATAATGATTTAAATGCTATTGCAAATGCATTGTCAACCTAGCGCTTGTGATCAACGTCTTCACAGTACGACATTATTCAACCCAAGTGTTTCCCCGCCATTTTCAACGATACTTTTTTCATGCTGACATTATAGTCACACTTATTTTCATTTTTGACTCTTGGAATTGGCTTCTGTTAGCGTAACTGCACATATAAGCAGTTCACAGTGATGTAATCTTAAGTGTAACATGGAACAATTATGTCATTAAAAACAAATTTGGAACATGTATCAACAGTCCCAGAGGCACTAAATTTAATTCGCTTTCATCTTTGGCTATTTGAAAGAGTTTAAATTCATCAGCTCCTGGCCTTTCCATTAAATCCTACAGCAATTAAGTTCAACAGATGGGACACAGGCCTTTGATTCTGAATAGTTTTTTTTTTTTTTTCACCCTCTATTGCTAAGTAGAAGTTATTTGTTTGGAATAGGAGACTTTTACCATTTACAACTAAAAGAGGAAACACAAATACAAAAAGTCTCCCCCGAATATGCCCTTCTTCCCTTGTGTCTCAGGATATCTTTGTTCACACTCTTATCATTAGCTTACCAGGAAAGGAAATCTCTGAAGCGATCACATACTACACCCACTGGGTTAATAAAATACGTATGGTAAGAAAAAGTAGGTCCTTGACTGGTTGCTAAATGATTTTTAATAGAATATTCTTTCCTTGAATTCTTGGCTAAGAGAATGTTGAAAAACCTACAGTTGGGAGGAATGTGGGAAGTTTGGAATCATATTTTTGTGCTGTAACGCAAATGATTTAAGAATATTAAGAAAAAGGAAAAATAATTAGATTAACAGCAGGTCTTTTACTTTTTTTGGTCTTTTTGTTTTTGTTTGTTTGTTTGTTTTTTGTTTTTTTTTTTGTTTTTCTCCGGTACCGGGAACTGAACTCACGACCTTGCGCTTGCCAGGCAGGTGCTTTTGCCGCTGAGCTAAATCCCCAGCCCCTTTT